AAATGTATTTTTAAAATCTTGGAATTAATCATAAATTTAATATTAACTTTAGGCATTCTTTTTGTCAACTATCATTCACGTTTCGATAAAAATACATTGTAATATAATATTTTTTAACTAATTAATATAATCATAATAATTGTTGACCAACATTTAAGCAGATATAAAATTAGTTGTATCTCAATTAATTTAATGACTTAATAATTTCTGCTTTGAATAATTTTGAAATGTTCAAACGTAGGTTCTTATTTTTTTTTTCTAAATTATTTATGATAATGATTATAACGATTATTATTAATATGATTGCTTAGTTTGCAAAACGTTTTCTTTTGAATACATCTTAGTTACTACATGCCGACTATAACATATTGTTTCATCGGTAGTTATTTTGTCATTAGTTTTATCACCGTCTCGTTTCATATTTGCTATTATCGTTTGTACTGCGTTTGGTAAATGTTAAGCGTATAAAAGTCAAATAAAAATATTCCACCATTTCAAATTAATAATTTTTACATATTCTGAATAGCGTGTAAATATAATACAATCATCCGCATATATTCGGGCTCACAGTAAAGTCCGAAGTGCCAAGTTTGTGTAAAAAGATAAAATATACACCAATCTCACATTTCCACGTAAATTACAAACCAACTCATAAAATAATGTTTTATATTACAAGAATATTTTATTGAGCATAATATTGACACAAATTGCTAATTATCCTTATTAATATTATTTATGGTTAAGAGAATGCTGCACCCGTGTATGTTGTCTCTGTCTTACAGATGTACAACATAACAAAAACTGTATTGAGCGGGATAGAACCACTCAGTCTGTATAATCCTAGTAGAGACACTGAAAGTGTGCACAATTTAGAAGTCAATGTTTTCTTTGTCATAGAGTTTTTATTTGTTTGATACCATTAATAGGAAATAAGTCTGAATGCTTTTAAAAATCTGGTATTTTTATATTTTCTAAACTTAAATAACTTTTTATACATTGGTTTTATCAAAAAAATTAAAACTCTACGACTCAGTTAAAATTCTCTTGTATTCTTAGTGAAAAATTGGTTTTTAGTTATAACTGTGAAACCGGGTCCCCGCATAAAACAGTTTTTGTTATGTTCAACATTAGTAATAAAGGAGAAAAAACTTGCAGTTGTAGAGTCCTCTAAAGTGATTTTTCAATTTTTAAAGTACCCACTTACTTTTCCAGTATCTACTTGTATATTTATTAAATTCACCAGTTTTAGTGCGTACGAGACAGTTGATGAGTATAATAACATATCTTCTTAATTTTTTGAAATAAAATGTAGTAAGAATATTCCTTACAAATATTTTGCTTCATCTAACATAAATGCATTATTTTATTTTTTATTATTTACTTAAGTCATTTTCATAAACACGATGTCAACTATTGAGTAGGTATTTCGTTTTAATATATGCATATTAAAACATGAATAGTTATAACTCGTATAATAACGACTTAACATCATAATAAGATACCTATACTTCACCGCGTAACGTGTAGGCGTGCGTGATTATGACCTAAGAAAATACTACAATTGCATTGTAAAATAGGTTATTTTATAGTATTCTATGGCTTGCATTTATATAGCCATTGCACGTATAATTATATAATGTATTACCTACGTCATAAGGTTAGGTTCGCAGCCGGTCGCAGTTCGATCCTCGGCCACCGCGCGGCATTTTTCTCCGGACAAGTCGCGGTGACCGGAGAACAAGTGCCGCCATCCCCCAACCGGGCATGGCAGAAACCCACGGGTGCCCAATAGAAATTCTGCCAAACACAAACACACACGTGTATGAAACGAGAAAAAAAACCTACATAACTAGGTACCTACTCATAAATATTGAGTTATATTGCCAGTCCTGATTTATAAGTAGGTAATCCGTTGATACTCAATACTAAAGGTATGTATAGCCTGGTAGGTTGGCCAGAATCCTTATCTATTATATAATATTTTAGTTATTAATAAGTAATATTAGCTTACGTGTTACGTGTTCCAATATAAATGTTAGTACATTTCAGTATTTCGTTAAGATGATCTTCAAGTCACAAACAATATTCGACTCGGTATTCGGTTCAAACATTTTCTTCTAGTTATATCTATTTAACCGATGATGATGTATATTTTATTTGACTTTAAATTTAATTAACAAGGTACTAGGAACTTGTATAATAAGTTACTATTTATAGTTTGTGATTTTACTAAAGTAACAATTTATAATCTAAAATAATGATTTTTCTTAACATCAATATGTTTTAATATGTCTGTGGGTCAAAAAAAATGGGTTACGTAAAAGATACAATTAAGTGATTTTCTATTTTGACCTCTTAAAAGTACCAATTAAATCCAATTTGCTATCAGAAACCATATTCAAAGTTGAAGTGGAAGCATTATTTCGACTACTTGTTGATTGTCGTGTAGGTACAGACACAACAAACTTAAAAAATAAATGAATCTCCATAACATTTTAAAATTTATTTATAATATTTACCGTACTTAGCATTTTATCATTTAAATTTTAATTAGTTATACATATTATACATCAATATATTGATTTTTAGCATCATTTTCAAACGTAAGTGCTAAATTCCTAACATTGTACAGTTATTTGAATTAAATAGACCTCTATAGGTACCCACCGTCTGCGTTTTTAAAAATGTCACTTCAGCACTTCATTAATAACTACACATATGAATTATACATTTATACAATACATTATAGGTATGATTTTGTGTATAATAAAATGTATGGTAATATGGCGATTATATCAACTTACAAAAAATTATATTATAATAATGATACAGAGCCCTTTCGTGACAGTTCACATTCACACAATATTAGTCAACCCAACCACGTTTAACGCTAGTCGAATAATAAATATTATGTCAATAGACATTGTTATTGTCACGTTTGTCGACGTCTCGAGGTATATAAGAACTGTAGGCCACCCCAACCCCCACGACACTCACACGCGCGGAGTCGGTCGCCAGACCTTGCACACACACATATTATTATATAGTCATCCGTTACTCGGTCGTTGCAGCCCTTTATGGCGTACAGTAATGGCGGAGTAAAATGTCTTTGTTAAATGTCTATAAATAATGTTTTTGTCGTTGTGTGGTAGTTACATATATGGTGTATGTTCCTTTTAATATGTTACGAACGAGACCCGTGTCCCGCTGCATTCGGTTTTAGGGGTAGAAAACAGAACGAATAGCCGCCTGATCGAAAACCGTCACTTGTAGTGTACATCTAACAGCAGGTGACTCTGCAAGGGAATCAACAATGCTGTCTGGCGTCTACCTGTACGGCGCCTATACCGGCTTTGTCTGATTCGTTCTTAAGGGCTTAAGGCGGCTTTTAGTGGCTATTGTTTAATTGGTAACATTTAGGCAATTTATTATCTCTCAGACAAGCTTGAAAATATTTTTATACTTACGCGAGTATATTAAAATGAATAAAGCCAATAAGCTGACAAAAAATTAACATATTTCTAGAAGTACCTACAATTTTAATTTTGAAAAAAAGATTTGAATTCATTACCTTTCATTCTGTGTTTTTTAGGAGTCGATATTCGATATTTTAAAAAGGAAAAGAATTTACTTAATTTCTCAAAATTAAAATCTACTTTAAAATGAGACAAAAAAAAATTGAATGTTTTTTCTACAAAACATAGAAAGAGGTTAATGAATTCAAATTAGTATTACAATTAAAATTGGACTACTAGAAGTATGTTTATTTTTCACCAGCGTATATAATTCAATCGCATAGAGCCTTCTAAAAGATTAATATAATATTATTTTGGTTGTCGCAAGACACTCGGTATATATTACGCTGGTTTAGAATAAAATGGTTCCATCGTGTTACTTAAAAATTGTCCAGCTAAGTGTTTTTTAAAATTCAACATGAAATAATTGTATTAACTTGTAATGAATTTATTTCAATTTATTACCAACTTAAATGCCCACATTAATTTTTGCTGAGGTAGGTACGTCCTCTAAAACATGTTGACTATATATTGACATAGGTCATAGATCAAAAAAATAAAAACAAAAGTATATCGGCTAAGAATAAAAAGGTTCTTTTTCATAGAACAATTTTTTTTTACTTTTGAGAAGATCCTATTAGTTGGAACCTTTTTATATTAATTTGTTTTATCAGTGACGCTTACTCATAAACATTTAGATAAAAGTTATGTTGTATTTTATATTTATTTAGGTAATAATAATAATAGTAACCGAGATAATAGTTATTAACGTTTATTAGAGCTTGACAATTTTATGGATAATAACAATTTTGAAATATTATAATAGTTTATGCTTTTAGGTTCCGAGCGAAGCAAAATGTATTGATTTTCAATTATGCTTTTTTTATTTTCATTTTTTATTTTGTGTCTGTGTAGTGTGTACACTATAGGTAGTCGAATATTTATGCTTCAATTTTCATTTTTAATATCTTTTCCGATGGAAAAGTGAATTTAGTCAACGCATTCAGGATTTCAAACTTACAAGATTTTCAGTAGTTTTCAAAATTGCCATGAAAACAAAAAATAAATAAATAAAAAGGAAATTTATAAGCAAATTCGGGTTTCGAGATCATGTCATTTTCACTTAATTTTTAAATTAGCATTTTCTATACACCATACAATTTCAAAAATATTTTGACTCCTGTTAAGCTAACTATAACCATACGATTTTTTCGATTTTTATTTTACAGAGCGCATTGAATTATGATTTTTGATTTCGTTACTTAAAACAAAAATAATAAAAAAAATAGCTTTAGAAAATTGTCTTATTCAAAATAAACTCAAATAAAGACGAGTACTGACGAAATACTGGTTATACCGGTACCCCTTCCTCTCCTTGCTATTACTCTACACAGCTCAATGGAGTGGGAAGACGATAGTCGACAGTCGACGGACGATAGTGGAACAGCCGTCGATAGACTCACAATAGTCAGTCAGTCACGCTCTTTCACAGACCACTTACGCACACAACCGATAGTCATAAACCGATACCACTGACAGCGCTAGGTACTCGCATGCATGTACATATTTTTGTAAGTCGTAAATCCGCTGTTATCATCGTCATCTCGTTTTGATATTTGAATTTCGAAGAAGTACGTTACGTTTGTTATCGTCTAATATAAGGTAATGGATCTTCACAGATAATAAATTTTTCGGCTCCATGCACAAATTAATGTCTTATATTTTGACTCTTTAAAAGGGGCCAATATTATATACATGTTATTTTATATATGGGTCAAAAAAATTCTTTCGTGCGAAGATCCGTTCAATATTATAAAATGTTGTTTCATTGCTTGTATTTACAAATCACAAATTTCTACCATTTTTGAGTATGATACATTTTTTCATTTTGATAGTAATTATCACTCAGGGCAAGATGGCAGGTATGCTACAGATCGACGACATCCCAAACGCTGCACCGGAGGATTCTGTGCTTAACTCGTTGCTAGACGATTTTTTTCAACACAGGCATTTCAAGAATCCGACCCAGAGAAAAGCTACTGTTCAAATATTGAAGAGTAAGTACAATATATAAATCATCCGTCCAAAAAATGTAACATATTTATTTCGAAAAAGTTAGGAGAGAAATATATTTTAAAAACAATTTTTTGAAGAAGAATTCATTGCAATATTAATCCAAAGTTTCAGATTGCCATCTATCAATTAGGTAATTAATAGTGGACCGTTAAAAATGGGGCATTACTAGCTCAAATATAAATCACAATAAACACATTGCGTTTGACAACTTGTGATAATTTAATTAAAATGTAAAATGAGACATTAAAAAAAGTTCAAGATGTTTCATAAAAAAAAAAAGTGGTCAGGGACTAAAAGTATCCACGTAGATCAGAATATTTATAACAATATTATAATTAGAGAGCGGACTTTTAGGTTTTTACGTGTTTTACGTATTATTTGCCAAATAAAATTAGAATATTCTGCATCAAGGAAGCATAAACAAATTTTTAGTTAAGATAGCAAGTATAGAGACATAGAGTCCAAGGAAAAAAATGCAATTCATCAACATCCCAACTCTAATAATACCTACTATTATAAATTATAATTGATATATAAATATATATGAATATATTTAATATTTCGGATGTGTTTTTCGAAAATTAATTTTTACAAAATTAAATAAATTTTAAATCTGTGGTTTAGGAAAAAATAGTATAACGTGAAAATAAAATTAATTAAATTGTAAGTTACTTAAAAAAAAAATAACTCGTTAATTAACTAAGTTATAAAAGTAACTTAACTTTTTAACTTATTAGCTCGTTAATGCCCAGCCTTGTCGATAGGTACATAAATAATGTGCATGATGTGTAATATGAGTGTACCTATAATAATTTAAAACAATGTTGTGTTTTATTTTATTTCATAATACACAAATAAATATTTTTTTTTGTTTTAAAGGAGAAACCGACGTGATTGTTTCGTTGCCCAAGGGATATGGAAGAACTACATGTTTCCAACTTCCTATACTTATATGCCAGCAAAAGGTCTCAATAGTTTTTGTTGGCCTATCATCACGGGTTAATGTAATAGATTAATGGAGTTTTATTTTTGATAAAATAAAAAAATACCTGTTAAAAATATTTTTAAAAAGTTGTTAATTCCGTAGATGCAAATAACCCGTTTAAATCGTGAAGATGTGTACGTAGAAGTTCTTGATGCAGAGACGTCATCAGAAGAATGGGGTCTTGTACAAAGCACTATTCATCGTTTGTGCAATATGTTGAGTTCTCATAATAGTATTCTCTACGTAACACTCGATGTAATCTTTAATGTTAACTTCTCGGTTAGTAAATTGAATACCACATAATATTGAATCACCTATGGTTTTAACTTACATTTTATTATGTACTTGTATGAATCTTTACAGCACTTATTGCGTTATTTAATTGAAACGAATAACTTGGGCTACATAGTAGTCGACGAATCATACTGTGAAAATCAATGGATGTCAGGCCAGAAACAAAACTATCATGCTCTAGGGTTACTCAGGTGTATTTGCAACCACATTCCTTGGGTAGTGGCCACTATAAAAACCAATATTGAAGTGAATATGAAAAGAATAACCAAAGATTTTAATAATTTGAAATAATTCATCTTGTTTTATGATTAGGTTGTTAATCGCATTAAGTCAACACTTTGTCTTAGAACACAAAGACCTGATATCCCTAAGGATTCAGTTTTATGGTATGGATTACATTTTGAAGATGATGCTGTAGTTGACAATTAAGCCAACAAAGGTAATTACTAATTATTAAGTTGATTAGCATAGGAACATACTTCAGAATAAATTAAAAATTAAAACTCAATTTCATTTAATTATAGGTATTTTTAATGTAAATAAATCCCTGAATCAACTCTTTGGACCAACTGAATCATGCAAAATTCATATTTCAAACTAAGTGACAGACTTACACCTCTTTGGCTCCAACATGCACTATTTAACAATAATAATTTAAAAAAAATTAATTTTTATGAAAAATGTTATTATTTATTATTATTTTCATATTATATCTTATTCTATATATTGTTTATTTTTGTATATTTTGTGAATAATTGAAGATATTATAAATATTGTAGTATAAATACTTAGTAATAAGTTGGACTACTTTATCGGAAAAACTTAGTAATAAAAAAACAAAAAAAAATATGTAAATATATTTTTTTTTACTAATTATATAATTTATTTATTCTTACTAAACTCATATAATTTTTATATAAATTAATTTTGGATATATCATTTTTACATATAGGAGGTCCTTCGACATTATTTATTTATTGTCATTTTTATATGGTATTTAATTTGTTTGTTTAAAATAATCAGGAGGTATTATTAAATTTTGTAATATTCTCTGCAAATTGTTATTATTAACTGGTTAAAAATTATTGTCATCATATATTATAATTTCTAATTCTGTTAATATTATTGACTGCATACAAAGAACTTTCTTCAACTGCGTTAAATATTAAATTCAACTTCTTTCAATTTTGGTAACTATTTTGCTTTTTATTCATCCGACCAATTAATCTTTTTATAAATATTACCCATGTTTGTTCTCGTAATATTGAGTTTTGCACCTTTATTTACCTTTGCCTCACTTTTTAGTTTACTAATAGTAAAGTATGGTTTATAATATAACTATGTTACAATGGGAATAGTCAAATTGCACTTATTACCTAAAAATTAATGGTCAATTGTACTTGGATTTAAAAAATTGAATGGTTGAGAACTGCACCTGGGTAAAAAGCAGGTCGTAAGTTCTAAATACTATAAAACAATATAGGTTTTATTTATGGTTAGTCTCAGACCTCAGTTCATTAAATATTTTATTTTGGTGTCTGTTACGCCTTTGACCTGTGTATTGTGGTTTTTGTCTTTGTTCAAAGTAAAATTGTGTACATCTTTATAGTTAATATACCTATAGTAATTATTACTATACTTTAATATTTCTTTCAATTAAAAATGAGTCAAGATAAAAGAACCAGTAATATTTGGCAACATTTTACAAAAATTGACTTAAATTTTGTACCTTGTGATTTATGTAAAAGAAAATTATCATACAAAACAAGCGTAACAAACTTGAAAAAGCATTTATAAAATCCTCATTTGTTATATTCATTTACTACAAAGGTAACATCACATAAATTAAATTATTGTTTAGTTTGGCTTAAATGATTTACGTAAATTAAACTTTTGTTTTTAACTTAGCTTAGAAGTTCTTTTATAAAAAATTTTTTTTATTAAGTATAATAATACTATTTGTAATTATATAGGTAACATATTAAATAATTATGATTAGTATAATAAAAATACAAAAAAATTAATTTTAAAATATGAATATAATAAATAAATACAAACATTTAAGTCAATCTAACAATAATATATATATATATGGTTACATTTTTTTTCTTTATGATCACATTAAATAGGAAGTTTGCGATAATGATAGTACTATTGATGACCATGGCTTCGACATCTGGTGTAAATATTGGTACAGGATTGGACAATCAAAGACACATGCCAGTTGAACTTGAAGCACAAGACAGTATTTCAAACCATTGCAATAGAAAACAATTATCAATTACAAACTACATACCAAAAAAAATGTCTGTTGATACACAAAAAAAATTGGACCATTCTTTTTTAAAACTATTTACAAAAGATTTGTAACCATTCAGTGTAGTTGATGATCCAGGTTTCAAAGAATTTGTGCATTTACTTAATCCTACTTATAAAATCCCTAACCGCCATTCTATATCTAAAGTTTTAATCCCAGCAGAATATGAAAAATGTATGAATGCGATGAAAGTTTTAATTGATAAAGAATTGGAAACTGGTTGTATTACGACTGACTGTTGGACTTCTAAAAATACAGAAAAATTTATGGCTATCACAATACATTGTATTGATTTAAATTTTGTACTTAGGTCAGTTTTGTTGAGTTGTCACCCTTATAGTGAAAATCATACAAGTGAAAATCTTAGTAAGGAGATTAAAAATGTTTTAGAAACATGGAGAGTGGATAAAAAAATTGTATTTGTTGTGTCAGACAATACATACAATATAAAAAATGCATTAAGTACTTTAAAATTAAAAAATCTTGGATGTTTTGATTATACCATTAATTTAATTGTACAGTCTGCATTAAAACAAGAATCCAGTTTCATTGATAAAGTTAAAGCGATTTCAACATGTTTCAGAAAAAGTACCACTACCCATCACAAGTTAATGACTTACCAAACAAATTTAGGGCAAAAGCAACCAAAAAAAATGCTACAAGATGTTTCAACACGTTGGAACTCAACATTTTATATGCTACAGCGTTTTGTTGATTTGGAATTGGCAATTAGAGGAACAATAGAGCTTTTAGACAAAGCTCCAGAACACTCAAACTTAGAAGAATGGTTAACTGTAAAAGAATTTTTGCAAAGTGTTAAGTCCATTTGAAGAAGTAACTGAAGCAACCAGTGGCAAACAGTACAAGACAGGTTCATTGACGATTGTGATAGTTCACGGTCTTCAAAATGTGTTAATCAATGAAAAAATGTAATGAACAAATGGTTTAATTAATAATTTAGTTACTGGTATGAATGACAGACAAAGCCGGGGAAACATTGAAAAAAGTAATACTTTAGGTAATTGTAAGTTTCTGGATCCCCGTTTTAAAAATGTACCATTTGTAAACAACATTAGTATGCTAAATACTGGAAAAAATGACATCATCGATTCCACAAGTCAATAAATTTTTTTGAATAGATTTGAAGTTAGTACTACACCAAATATTGAACTTTCGACATCTGTAAAAAGTACATCGAGCCTAAAGAAAGGACATTTTCAATTTGGGAAACTATTGACACACAACTTACTCATATGCAACTGGTTGAAAGAACTTCAAGATCACGGGCAATAATAGAAGTTCAGCGTTAGATGGAAGAAGCATTAATTCTGAGAGTCTAATCTTTTGGTATGGTGGAAAGAACAAAAACATAATTTTCCATATCTTGGTATTTTGGTGAGAAGAATGTTGTGCTGTTTAAGTTCATCGGTACCATGCGGACGCAAGTTTAATTTTATCTGACCAAAGATGCCGTTTAAATTCTAAAAAGCACAGATGCTGTTGTTCTTAAATCAAAATGGAAATTATTAGGAAGTGTATTAGTCATTACTTGTAAATTGACAATTTATAATTCAATTTTTTTTTTTAGTTGTTCGAAAGACCTCTGCACCGATAATTTAATAATAAATGATTTTTGTTTTAGATTTTACAAAATTATGATAGTTGAATATTTCTTATTTAATGTTCAATAGTCACTAATGTCCAATGAACATTGACACATTCTGTTCCCAATTTCCCATAAATGATGGCCATTTAATTGATGTTTGGTTTAATAGGTACTAATCACCAGTGATACATACTGTTCGTGCTAATACTATACTTTCTATATTCCCTATACATCAATCGAAATGTCACTATAAAGTATAAAGCCCGAATAAAAGTATAACATCATTTAAATTTTAATCTACAAGTCTAAGCACTAAAATATATCAAACTTCAATAGTAATTAATACAATATATCCGATAAAATAATAATATGATAATATCACTTGCGATTTTCACAAAATCGCATATCACATTAATTCGCGGTATCAGTCAGTATCAGTAGCGCCCTGTGCATGATTGAAAATATCGAAAACGAAAAAAGTCGCAATCACTGGTATCTCCATATCCGAGCAACTGCAGTCTGCGACTGCCTAGTGCCTACTTTGCAATCACTGTGAAAAATTAACTGCCATTGCTACTTCGCGCCATCGCTAGATCGTTTGGAGCGTTTTCACCTCGGTATTTCCACAGGCGTCCGTGTCGTTTTTGGCCCGACTAGCGTTGCGCGTTTGTGCTCGAGTTTCGCCGTCGACGTCGCATCGTGACCTTCTGAGCAACGGTAATCCATTGTCGCGTGTACTTGGCCGACACCCGCGCGCGATTATTCGTCGTACGATCAATCGGCGTGTTTTGCAAGATTCCGACGTGCCGTATTCGTCAACTCGCCTGGCGATTCGTCTCCGCAACCAAACCACTTCGAAATCGCTGTTTCCACGCCGTTTCGCGCGACGCCGCCCTCAGTGCCGCGGTTACGTAACAGCGCCGTGGATTTCATAATCCGGTCACTCGCGCCGCCGTCCAGTGTCGCCGTTCAAAGTCGACGTCGTCGTATCGGTTGTTGCGGACAGTCACCGACGCCGCCGATAATCTTCACCCCCGTCCCCCATCGAGAAGCTTGTGCCGAAACGGTATCATCATATTATTATCACATTATTATACGCAACACCTTATTATTATTATTATTATTATTATTATTATTATTGTTATTCGTATCATTACTGTTTGCGGTGCACTGCTCCCGTGGAGACGTCCGCGTAAGCGCAAACGTTATATTATTATTATCAAATATATATTCTTATCTTAACACCATTATAATATTATACTATCGTTTGTGAACACCACATTATTTATATTATAGTTGTCCGGCCAAATGATCGGCAATAGCCGGCAACAAACAAATGAGTAGATATCAAAAATAGCACTGTATACTATAAATATTTGCAATATTTGTGTTGTTTCTAGTACAATACCAGTAAATTATTATTAGCAAATAAAAAAATAAAATCAAAATATTCAAACGGTTATTCTTTATTTGATTATTCTTATGGAGAAAACTTAATTTACAAAATATAAAATTAAAATAATATAAGAATTGGAACATATTGGATCTATATTGGTTCTAAATTAAATTGAATATGGTAGGTTGACCTTCATTTTTCCAAAATTGCATTTGAAAATGTCAGTGTTTTATAAAATGTAATAGCATTCTTAAAAAGTCTCAAGTAGTTACCAAATTACAATTAACTTAAGTTGTTATTCATTTTTTAAATATCAAATTTTGTCCAAATGTGGACTAAAAATGTATATAAAAAAACCTGTGTTTATATATTTTTTAGATTTTTTGGTGACCATAATAACTGCTAATGAGAAACCTGCTTTTAAATTATCAATCAATAGCTATACAAATTAAGCAGTTTTTACACTTTTAACTATAAAATAGTACCCAAATTTTTGAAATTTTGATGAACGTTGTAAAAATTTGAATTTGAAATTCTTATATTATGTATCTCTAATATTTTTTAACTGCTATTTTAACAACTTGTAAGGGACGTTGGATTATTGTTGAATAATTATTGTCATTTGTCTAGTGTAGAATTCTTTAGTCTTAAATTATGTTATTTAAATGGCCATACACACAACAAATAACATTACAGTTTTGTGGTATTGACTATTGAGTGATGGGTTAAATGATATAAGTTGCCACGTAACTTTCCATCTCTTAACTTTCAAATATGTTTATTTGTTATAGCAAAAAATTATTTATTGTATTGCTATTGCCTATTTGTAGAACTAGATGTACTAAATAATTTGTATGATTATTATGTATTACATAATTAATTATTAGCCATGGGAGAATTAGATTATTTGTATTAATTAATTATTATGATTTATTAAATTAAAATGTTCTTCCAAAGGAATATTTTAAACCTTATTAATCAGAGAAAATTGTCTCTAAAAAATTGAAAGAAAAGTGTTTTTTTTAAAACTACATTTTAAACGATATTTCTAATCTGATTTCATCCAATATTTAGCCATAACACCATGTTACTTTATAATACTCTATATTATGCTATTTCAATATGTTTTTGTTAATAAGTAATCATAACAATTATAATCTTACAAAAAATTGGGAAGAAATAAAAAAAAGGGTTTCCAGCCAAAAAACATATTTTTATGAAAACCTTTTTTGTTATTATCAAAAGTTTGGATTTATTACCTAATGAACTAATACACAACAGGAAACATTGGAATTGAAGAATAAAATATAGAAGTAGAACAAGCAATAAATACGTTATAATATGTTATCTCATAAGGTTTATTTATTGTAAAGTAACACTTTTGTAAGTTAAGTCCATGATATGATTAAATTTAAAAATTACAAAATTGCATTTTTTTTGTTTTTATGTTTTTAATTAAAAAAAAGTACTAAATATAAATAAATAAAAAAATCACACAAAAAAATTGACATCAAATTGTAAGCATTGCATAATAAATAGGCATCATTATATATTAGACCCTGGTAGACCCTAAGTAATTATACACCTTAGCCAAATCATCCAATTTCTATATATATATATTTTTTATTCATACGTTAGTGTACATCAAAAAAGTATGGCATATGATGATTGTAAACTGTAAACGACTCAGAGATAGGTGCTTTAGCTGACGTCTTGATGATTGAGCAAATCTAGAGAATCCAAAAACCAAATTCTTATTAAAAAAATCTTCCAACATTTAATACTACAATATTTGAAAAAAAAATTGAACTGAAACATATCTTCTCCTTCAAAATTCTATAGACCATAGTATATATAAGGTATATTTGTACAATTTGTGAAAGATAAACACTAAAATAACTTTAAATTTTACTTTTTCCAAATTTAACTTGATTAGAATGGCATTTACCTTGTTGGAATACAATTTTTCATTGAATAAACTCAGTATTTCTAATACACTGAAAGTAATTATTAAATTTTTATTTTAATAATAATTAGATATCAACATTGAGATCATTAGAGTAAATAGTAATAATAACTTCAAATAACTGTAAGTAACTGAATAAGTAAGTGAATTTTTCGAGGAATTTTTTCATAAAAAAAATTTAAATGTGTTGAGATGCCTAAATAAAATTAGTTAATAGTCTTTGCATAGATTAGTCTCAAAATATTTGGTACAGATTTAAGAGGAACTGTATCAACAGGATTATGATTATTCTTTGTTTAGCATATACATACAACAACATACAAAATTATCATACATTCATTTTAGGTTTGTTGCAGTTTATGTTGGAGCAAACGTGTATTATTTTATGCAATAACTTTATATTATAGTTTATCTACGCTTAAAAATTAATTTTGTATGTCATATTATGTTCAATAAAAGTAATTAATTTGTATTTCATGAAAGTGTATTTGAAAGTAAAGTTCATGATATTCATTTTAATTTGTGTTTTTAAAGTCATCTGAAGTAATTTCCGACTCCTTTTAAACATTAATATCCATTTATGAACTTAATAATATAATATCTTAACTATTTAATAAAAAAACTCTTAATAAGTAAATAATAAAATAAATAGTATTTTAAGTGAAGGGAGTGGATAATTAATGTAAAATAAGAATTACTAAACAATAATAACAAAAAAAACTGTCAAAATAAAATTCTAAATTCTAAATGAAAATATAATACTTTTATTTTAATTATTTTGGAAATAGAATCAATATTTAGAGTTTACCTTTTACTCCATGTTTCGATTTCCACGACCACCATGCTGTACATATTGTTCACTGGCATAATACTGGTAACCTAAAAGAAATAATTATGAAATACTTAATAAAATATTAAAGATTATAAAACTAACCGGCTTGAGCACCAGCACCTGGATAACCATAAGTATAGCTGTAGTCAGGACTATAGGCATTGTATTGATTTTGATAATAATTTCCTAAAAAAATGAACACAGAATAAATTAAAAATGAAACATGATGTCCCTCTTACTAATGAGCTAAGAAACATCAAGCCTTTCATCAAAAAATTGCCTATCCTCCCAAATCTAAAAATAAGAGATGAAGTCATCAGAACTCGAGCCAGAATAGGTCACACTCCTTCCTTATCTCCAAAGAATCTGCCAAAGTATGCGACGCGTGCATTGAAAACCTTTTTATCAAACACATTGTCACCATATGGTTGGAACATTTGTTCAAAATATACCACAACATGGAAAATCTTCTGCAATCCAACTTCTTTCCGGCTAACGTCCAACAAAGAAAACACAGAAACAATATTCAAGTTCATCCATACCATAAATTTAAGTAATAAATTGTAAATATCTGTATATACTCCATTTTAATTTTGTCAACCTGTTTTCTCTCTCTCTGTGTATGATGTACAAATGTAGGCTCATATTAGGGCTTGGATGAAAAATCAGCATATTTTTTTGAGCAGCCAGAAATACACCGTGTGACATAATTTGATTTATGAAGTCTATATTACAAATAGACTTTCTTTTTTTGCATATTTTTGCTTATTTATAATATTTTAAATATAACATAAACACTTTATATGGGAGGCTATAATCCATTGAAAAAAAAAACCCAGTAAATAACTTTAAATTTAAAAAGTTTTGAGAGAAGTATACTTAAAAAAAAATATCTCTGACGAATCGACCTTAAGAATAAATTGTGTAGATGATATTTATAAAAATTATATTCTATTATGTATTTTGCAATGATGTTATTTTAAAATCATTTACAAACCACAAATTATTCTGAATTACTATTATCACATTTTTTGTAATCGTTTAAAATAGATTTAATATTTATTACACATTTTGTGTTTATAACTGATTTTGAATTAATATTAACACCTTTTTTGAATATGTTTTTTTGCATATATTTATTGAAAAATAAGTATATTTGATATATTTTAAGGTATATTATACTTGCATATCTTGAAATTTTTAAATGCATATTTTAATGAATTTTGATCATTAACATTCGGAGCTCTACTAATAACCAATAATGTTGAAGCCTTACTTTAAATAAAAAAATTAATTAATTAAAAATGTATGACTGGCGTTAATAATTTGTGTTTATATTATAAATTGGCTATAACCTCTTTTTATGGACCAGGAAAAATTTTTCTTAACCAGTGGGTCATAAATATTGAATACAATTTACTCGCTGAATACCTACATACATATATTATATTAATTTTAAAAATAATTTATTATAAATTATTAGTTTTTTAATTTAATTCCTTTGTCCATGTTCTGACCTAGTAGATTGCCATCGATGACATCAGTTTAATCATTTCTAGATTTTTTAAGGACATTTAGAGAAAATAAACACCGTGTTTGTTGCACATGTTGCCGTTAATTTTAACATTGCAAAAAATCATTGAAAAATGTATAGGAACATCATATTATGCGAACACTTGATCAGTTGAAACTCAACAAGTAGTGTTGTTATAAATTATTTCTACTGTATAGTGTTGACAGAAAATACATTTACCTCTATAGTAGTTACCAGGAGCACTGAGAGCGTGTCCATACTGAGGTGGAAAACCTGTAAAGATATTAAATGTAATATAACAATAAATTATTACGTATTAAATGGTAATGATGTATGATTACCTCCTCTACCTCTTTGGCCCCTGAAATTCCCTCTCTTTCCTCTCATAGATCTTAAAGGATGAAACATAATTCCATAATCTTTGAGTGGTGCTGCTTTTCTTACATAAACCTAATAAATATAGTAATAATAGTAACTAATTTCAGTAATCATAAATATTAATTAATTACTTGGTTTCCATTAATCACATGTATAGGCAATTTTAATATTTCAGATATTGCCTGAATGCTATCATATGTAAGAAAGCAATAACGTTTTCGTTGGTTTTTAACTTTATCATATGGCATCTCGGTGGCCACCAGCGGTGCATAGCGTTTGAAGTAATCTTTGATGTCATCATCAGTTAAGTCAGTAGATAATCCTCCAACAAATAACTTAATTTGTCGTGGTACAGCCTTTTTAACGTCAACTTTCTTCTCATTGATTACATGGTTAGTACACTCCAAAGCCTTTGAAAAAAAAAATAATACCACTATAAAAAATATTTTTCAACATTTTTAAATTACACACAGAATATTTGAATACACGTATAAATTAACAGCACAGGGAAATAAAAACTGGAATATTAAATAAATACCTAATTATTAAATTACATTATAATTATTAGGAGCTTAACTATAAATATAAATAAATATAATATTACAATGACAATGGTATAATGAAATATAATATAAAATAAATTGTAATTATTTATACTTTAATTATCAGTGATTTATTGTTGATTAACTGATATTTACAGGGTTGGGCAAATTACCCAACTTATTGTAATTGGTTACAAGTCTCAAGTTACTCTAAAACTGGGTAACTAGTTACAAGATACTAGATACTTTGATATCGTGTAACTGGATACAAGTTACAATTATGTAACTAAGTTATATTTTAAGTTAAAAGTTACATTGATAAATTGTATTGATTTATTTATTTATTATAATTAACACATTAGTCAAGTGTTTAATATAGAAACAGTCATAAAATCATTAGTCAGTATAAAATAGGTGCATGCAACATAGAAAGTAAAACATACAATTTAATAAAAAAATTGAATATTGTAATAATGTATTAATAGTTGTTTTCTATTGTGATGAATATCACAGTGTAAATTCTAATGAATATGATTTATTCCCTTTAAGAAAAACTAACAATTGAAGTAAGTGTGTACAGTTTTTTTTCAACTTACTTATTATTATACTTCTATATCGTTAAATTAATTCAACTTCCTTAGACACAAAGCCTTTATGCAGAAATTAAATACAATCATAAGTTAATCATTCACTTTGACAACAAATGATTAACTACAACAAGGAAGTTGAATTAATTAAACAATATAGAAGTATAATTGTAAGTAAGTTGAAAAAAAACTGTACACACTTACTTCAATTGTTGATCAAAATCATCAACAAGAGATACAATTTAACAAAATTATAATTATTTCCTATTTTTGTAGTAAAATACCCTCGAAAATACCCTTTCCTTAATATTAATTTCTACGGTTTATGGGAGTAAATATGTTTTATAAAAGTGTTAGAAATTTGTATCTTATTTCAATGCATATACTTTAGCTGATATATCTGTTTTATAAATCTTTATCACATATTATCACGATTAATATTCATATATAAAGTATGAAAAGCAATTGAATTTTGAAGTATATTTTGGTCATGCACAAAATAATAAACCAATATTATGCCTACTTACTGAATACTATTCACACATTAACTATAAAATTATTTTTCACATTCTGAACTGAACATACCTACCATATTTGTTGAATACAAATTTCTTAATAAATTATATTTAACTATATTATTATATTTAATTTATTACCCAATTATATTACAAACATCTGTCCTAAAATTTTTGACAAAATTTAAGAAATAAATTAATAAAACAAAACTTTACTAACATTGTCTTGGCCTTTCATCGTCTTGAACACAATGAAAGCGAAACCTCTGCTTTCACCAGTGGCAGTATCTACTTTGACATTTGTAAATTCGATTTCCCCAAACTGACTAAAGTGTTCATTTAAATCTTCTAAAACATACATAAAAGTATTCGATTACAATTTTTGGAAACTACCAACAGGTGTTTGCAACAAACTTACTCTCAGTGGTTTTTTTATTGAGCCCTCCGATGAATATTTTTCTGCAAAACAATAATAGTATTAGTTTTTGAAACATTTGGCAAACGAAATAACAAATGCGATACGAAACATGGTCGGAGTAACCAAAACGCAAATGGTTCAAGTAATGTAACTAAAACCGACGGGGGCACATCAAATGTCGAGAGACACAGAAGCACACTTCGAATTCTAACTGAATATTAGTAGACATCAAAATATCGGTGGAAGAACGGAGGCAGATCAAAAACCAATTTCGCCAAGGGAAAATTATCGAAAATAAGAAATTATCAGACAAACCTGAAACCATTATCGAGAGAACAGTGAACCTATCCGTCGTTTCGGCGTTGGCAGCAGCCCGTAATTGCCAAACGTTTTATTTTGTCTTACCTAACATCGTCCCGGATGTATTGAATTTGTCCAGAATTGTCCGTCGTAGAAATGTTTTCGGTGACTTTCGGGTGCTTCTGCGCATCGGCGGCGTCTGTCAACTGTTGTGAACTGTTCCGTTGCTTTTTATCAGCCATTCCTGATTCGTGTAATACGCTACACTCCTAAATATTTGATTAACGTGGAAACAAAAATAAATAATAAATACCAAATAATTATTTAAGTAAAAATGTACCTCTAAAAATAAGAACAACAACGGAGTTAAGGGAATGAAGGATGATAACTGAATAGTTGACCGAGAAAACTGCTTAGAATGTATGGGCATGAGTCGAGATAGTGTAACCTGGAATATCCTCAGCAGTAGCGGTAAACAACTATGAACCACAACCGGATCGTCAGCAACACGTAGCTACCACATTAAACCAAATTGTAATTTGTAACCTCTTTGCTAAATATATTTGGCGGCAATTGATTGCTGTCTCGAGTAAATTCAAACTATATCTTCAGACATACCTGGGTCTAAGAATCGTTACATTTTAATACAATTTTAAAAATATCTTGACTCGTTTTTAACTTTATATAGGCATTTTAAATGTTACATTTTTAAGTTTTTCTGTTATAAATGACAATGAAATCGTGTTCGTTGCTCCATAAAGCTTGAACATTTAATACAAAGCACACAAAGTTAATAAACATTAAAAATCGCTGGCAAGATTTTTGTACAAGCATTTAAAGTTCAAATTAAAAATGTAAAATTTTTTTTGTAGTTTAAAGTTGATAAAATATTAAATTTGTATAGCTTTTTGTTGACGATTTAAAACAAAGTTCCACTTACGTAGGTCATTCTGTAAGCAAACAATTCAAAAAAAGCATATTGTGTTCGTACGCGGACCGGTTGGCCGGCCGGGCGGTGAACCACGGGCGCGGGTTGACAACGCGCCCGTTGGCGGCGCAACCGGCGCAAAAGTTTTTAGTTGTCGGTAAGTCCGCCTGCCGGTTGCGGCGCACCCGTCGTTCCCGGGCATGGCGCGCTCGGCGTTTGGTTCGTCGGCCGTTGTCGGTTGTCGTCGCTCTTAGCTTTTGGCTCCACACGTCAGCGCGGCGGAACGCGGCAACGCGCCAACGCGCCGTTTTTCCGCGTCGCGCCATACCGTACGCCGGTTGCCCGTTTCTGCGACCGCGCGCACGATCGTATGTGCACGTAATTCCGCGCAACCAGTTTTTTTTTTTGTACGCGCCGTTGTCGTTGACCATCCTCGCGGGTCTTCACGCCGCTGCGAACTGCGAACACCACTTGGCAGTTAGCTGCGTTGTCGTGACGATTTGTTTGTCGCACGTTGGCCGCCGAAAAGTTGTGTTGACGGTGTGCTCGTCGGCCATCCATCCACCATCGTTGGCGCTCGCACGAAGCATCATAACCGCGACTCGCGCACACCGTAGACCGCAAGCGTTCGAGCATCGATTATTCTCACCCCGCCGCCGTCAGGTCAAATGTATGTATTGCCACTTTTAATCGGCGCGGTTGTTGGTACCAGTTACCTGGCTGTGCGTGTTATTTTGTTTTTATATCTTATGAATTATTATTTGAATTTATTGCATAATGATGGCACACGATGTTTAGGTTGCCGTCATTGATTTAGACTGCCAGAGCCAATTTTGTTTCTTAGCTGTAAGATTTAAGGGCGCCCGATTTAATTATTATTATTTGTATTTATTATATTTATGCGCTCAGCGCTTTACACCTAATTCGGATTTGTTTGTTTGCGAGATTTGTATCAATTAAAATTGAGACAGAATTACATACTACAAGTAAAAACAAAAATAAATATTTTAGTTATGCTATTGTAATTTAAAAATATTATTCATGGACGCTTGAACTTTATAGAGTATATTATTATATTTTAAACGAACAATGACATTTTGAAATGCAATTTTTTCGATAAAAAATGAATTTAATTTATCTATGGTACCTAATATTGTTATGACTAATAGTCAGATATATTACATTAATCACAATAATATCATAAAATGGCTGCATCCGAATTGCGTGCCAAAAAAATGAGCAGTTTTGGTCAACAACCGAATTGCGTGCGCAGTTTTTATATGACAGGGTGGAGTTGCGTGTGAGTATTTTTTGAGACAGGTCCGAATTGCGTGCGTTAAAGTTTGAGTAGACGACCGGGGTTTTAATCAGTTTAAAAGGTCGTCGACCTTTACATATTATGCTGTAAAAGTACTAATATAAATATAACTATATAGTAAATTCAATACAGGTACCTACTGTATCTTGGGTTTTCTCCAGCGAATGGCTAGAATAGTAAATGGCGATTAGATATGAGTACATGGCTATAATATGATAAGTATATTATAACGATTTTAGAAAATTGAATTCAATATTTTGACTTGTTTATTTTTGGCATTGCATTAACAATTTTTGATTAATTTTTAAAACTGTTTTTTTTTTTATTGTGATTTTTGAACTTAAGGTTTTAATTGTCGATCCTAACTTTATTTTTAACTGTTATTTATTGAATTAATACTATATTTTTGATCCCCTCTCCCCCATAAGCTCTAAAAAATAAAATTTAGTTGTATATTAGTATATAATTAATTTATTATTAAATTATTAAATTTTAAAATTAAAAATGTATATAATATTTATTTTTTAAACAATTTGAATGAGTCCATATATTAATATAATAAAAAAATATTTAATATAAATATAAATAAATAAATATAAAATGGTGTGAGGAGGCGCACGCAACTCTTAGCAGGTTCAGTCGCGAATAACCTCAACCTAGATAATGATTTTCGCACGCAATTCAGAAACACCGCTTAAAACTACTTAGTAATATTATAGGCTGATGGATCGTCTTCGCTCAGAACCTTTTTATGTATACAATATTATGTAATATTATCGAATTCAAATTTAAAACATTCATTACATATCTAAACACCTGATGTACACCAGAGCGTTACCCTCTAACCCACTTAGATTTTCAGCGGAGCGATTTTACAATGATGTGTGTTTTTATATATATACATATTTTTTAATGTCTGTCATCAGTCATCACGGTTTCTTGCAGTAAAAATGCTTCGATTTTCTTCAACATTCTCTTTTCTAGAAAGGAAAGTGAATCTAGTTGCTGCATTCGGGAAGTAATAATTTAAAATCTCTAAAATTTTCAAAAGCAACAGGAAAAAACAAACAACAAATTAAGGCAAAACGGGAAATTTTTACGCAAAACCAATTTTCGAAAAAATCGATTTTTGTTTTTAGTATAACTAAAACAGTAGATACATGAAATTTTCACTGAATATTTGTGTAGACATTTTCTACACACCATAATATTTTCAAAATATTTTGATTTGTGTTGAACTATTTATAGGCATATGAAATTTTCAATTATTATGTGTATTTTTTAAACTGGAGTCGGTAAAAATATTTTGATATGTCAAAAAATTTAAAATATAATACAAGGTTTCTTGTAAATTGTTGTTAATGAAAATTAAAAAAAAAGTTGAGCATAAATCCACAATAATTTTTTATGATCGTTTAAACATAGAATTTTGACAAAATTTGTAAAAATCACGAAAATTAGCAAATTAAATTTTGTTAGAAATTCATAAAATTGTTTCTATTTATATCTAAGATTTAACAATTTAATTCAAGATTCTTTACAAGTTTTTCTACCGTAATCAAAAAAAAAAAAAATGTCTACCGGAAAGTCAAATGAAATTTGTATGAGCCTTAGGAGTTGAAATTTTTACAACATTGGATATGATATATATATATATATAACCACTCGATTTGATTTGTAGCGATTTTCTTATTTTGTTGTAATTCAAAAACGAAATACTGTAGCCACTTGAAATTTTCACCAAATGTTTATTTTATCAGTTCACATACTTGATAAAATGTTCAATATATTGAGATTCGTTTTAAGTTGTTGACGGACATTTTACATTTTTTAAAATTTTTTTTCCATAAATGTCAATACAATTTTATTGGTTGGATCAAAAATCATGAAAATTTAATATAAGACTATTGTAACAATAGCAGTTAAAAATATTAATAATTCCTCCTACACGATTTTTTTTATAAGCATTTAAAGTTTCAAATTCAACATTCAAACCGAAATTTAAAATGATTTGTTAGTTAAATAATTTTACAAAGTTTTCAATTTTTACATTTAAGGAGTGAAAATTCAAAACCATGTTCTACTTAAGCAGATTTTTTCGTAACTAAAAAATCTAAAAAATATATGTGTACAATTATTTGTTACGGACATTTTAATTTTATATTTGGATGAATTTGAATATTAACACAAAGAATAACCTTTATCATTTTGTTGTAATTCGGTTCTAAAACAGCCCAATTTTATATGGGTATATTTAGTATTTTTCCATCATCACTGATAATTTACGAATAATATTAATTCAACTTACTGGGTATCTTATTAATAATAAATAATAACAGTATAAAATGTCCTAAACTGACGTACCGTCTCCGCTTAGAGTCGTTTTTCGTTTACAATGATTTGATATCATTGAATTCAAATTTAATATCGTCAATTACAGCCACCGTCTAGACTCCTAATGTACAGCAGGGCGACGTCCACTTTCTCCTCTTTTTTTTTTTTAATCGTAACCTTTTATTTGTTATAAAAATGAAAATAAATAGGTAATCACTCGGTTTAAAGTTTAGTAGATGTCGGTTAAACTTTGTATTGAGTATAAGTCACTGTAATGGATGAGTCATTTATACCAGTTGGTACCTATTTATTCTATTATATGGTATTTATGGCAAATTTATTTCTTGGTATTGATTTATAAGATTCAAACATTAATATTTATATAATATATTTATAATAGTTATTTATTTTTATATAGTTCAGTTAATGCAATGACTTAGGCAAAATTTGTTTTAATCGATGCCATTAATAATTTAAAATAAATTACTAATTGTTGTCTAAAAAATGCTGATAAGTGTGTAACGATGTGCTGTACGATACGTTATATGTGGGTGGTGGTTCACTGTATAGTAGATGGTGTTAAATTTAATATTGTTGTAGCCGGTTTGTCGACCTAGGTTATCTTATACTATATTTATATTGTTATTATTAATACAGTAGCCAGTAGTTTGAATTAATATTGTTTGCATATTATAATATTATCATATTTATATATAATAGTATACTTTAGAAGTATGAAGTACCCAATAATAATATTAGATTCTGAGCGGAGCAATGAATGTATTGATTTTACAATGATGTATATTTTTATATTTATTTATTTATTTAAATTTTTTTGTGTCTATGGTCACGGTTTCGGGCAGTAAAAATGCTTCGATTTTCTTCAACAGCAAATTTTCTAATAAGAAAGTGAATTTAGTTGGTACATTCAGGAGGTCAAAATCTAAAATCCCCAATAGTTTTCTAAAGAAACAGACACCACAAACAAAATATTAAGGGAAAACGGGAATTTTTATGCAAAACAAGTTTTCAAAAACATGGTTTTCACGGCGATTCGCGCACTTAACAATATTGAATATCCTTGCGTTGACAGGATACCTTGGGCAGCCGTGCTAAATTAAGCTAACCAGCTCGTCAGCGGCTGCTGCGATTACCTTACCTGATGTAGGGACATAGTTAATAACTCACAGATAACACAGTTATGTTAGTGTGTGTGTGTGTGTGTGTGTGTGTGTGTGTGTGTGTGTGTGTGTGTGTGTGTGTGTGTGTGTGCCGGTCTTTGGAGGATTGGAACCTACCCGGGCGATTACCGATACTTTCTGACATTATTTGATGGCTCAAACAGTAAGTGTAAAATATAATGTGTATTAATACGCTCTATCGTGATTCGAACCTTGTACATGGGTTATTATGTTATTATTATACTTTTGGTACGAATATCAGAATATTATGGTTCCGAATAATAGGCTAAATGATAAAAGTTTACAATTTATATAATTATAAGTTACCATCAACGTCATTCTTCAGAAACTCAAAGGCATCTGCCACTATCTATAGTATCTAATATCATGTAAGATATTTATAAGGCTATTTTTACTAAACATACCATACGAGACTACGAAATCAGACGCTCAACAATGACAGCATTATTATGACCTATAATGGGGTTTGACTAATAAAAAAACAAGCCTAACATTTAAAACATAATTTGGAAATTTTTTTAAAGAAATCCGTTTATAGTTATATTATAGCCTATTTTTATGTTGTTTTTATATTATTATCCATTCTAGTTTACTCAGTTATAAATATAATTATAATAGTAAGACATTGATTACCTTATTCAAAATCAGTAGTATATAAATACTTACTCCGACGGTCCGGTGCTTTGTTATAACTTCATAAAAAATGTGTGAAATCCGTATTTGAATGTCTATAACTATCAACGGTGTGAGTTAATGCCAAGTTAACACTGCTGGGCAGTGGGTAATCTACCGTAAGTGAATAGGTACTTATGATAT